CGGGGGCAGCCGCACGGCGAGAAGGGCATCTCCGTGCCCGACCACGGCTTTTGCCAGCCCATCTCCATCCCGCTGTGCACCGACATCGCCTACAACCAGACCATCATGCCCAACCTGCTGGGCCACACCAACCAGGAGGACGCGGGGCTGGAGGTGCACCAGTTCTACCCGCTGGTCAAGGTGCAGTGCTCGCTGGAGCTCAAGTTCTTCCTGTGCTCCATGTACGCCCCGGTGTGCACCGTGCTGGAGCAGGCCATCCCGCCCTGCCGCTCCATCTGCGAGCGCGCCCGGCAGGGCTGCGAGGCGCTGATGAACAAATTCGGCTTCCAGTGGCCCGAGCGGCTGCGCTGCGAGAACTTCCCCCGGCACGGCGCCGAGCAGATCTGCGTCGGGCAGAACCACTCGGAGGACGGCGGCTCCTCGGCAGCGCTGCTCACCAGCGCCGCGCCGCCCGTCGCGCACGGCACCCCCGGAGCGCCGCGCTACGCCACGCCGGAGCGGCCGTTCCACTGCCCGCGGGCGCTGAAGGTGCCCGGGTACCTCAACTACAAATTCCTGGGCGAGAAGGACTGCGCGGCGCCCTGCGAGCCGGCCCGGCCCGACGGCCACATGTTCTTCAACGAGGACGAGATCCGCTTCGCCCGCGTCTGGATCCTGGTCTGGTCCGTGCTGTGCTGCGCCTCCACCTTCTTCACCGTCACCACCTACCTGGTGGACATGCAGCGGTTCCGCTACCCCGAGCGGCCCATCATCTTCCTGTCGGGCTGCTACACCATGGTGTCCGTGGCTTACATCGCCGGCTTCGTGCTGCAGGAGCGCGTGGTGTGCAACGAGCGCTTCCAGGAGGACGGCTACCGCACGGTGGTGCAGGGCACCAAGAAGGAGGGCTGCACCATCCTCTTCATGATGCTCTACTTCTTCAGCATGGCCAGCTCCATCTGGTGGGTCATCCTCTCCCTCACCTGGTTCCTGGCCGCCGGCATGAAGTGGGGCCACGAGGCCATCGAGGCCAACTCGCAGTACTTCCACCTGGCCGCCTGGGCCGTGCCGGCCGTCAAGACCATCACCATCCTGGCCATGGGGCAGATCGACGGCGACCTGCTGAGCGGCGTCTGCTTCGTGGGGCTCAACGGCATCGACCCGCTGCGGGGCTTCGTGCTGGCGCCGCTCTTCGTCTACCTCTTCATCGGCACCTCCTTCCTGCTGGCCGGCTTCGTCTCCCTCTTCCGCATCCGCACCATCATGAAGCACGGCGGCACCAAGACGGAGAAGCTGGAGCGCCTGATGGTGCGCATCGGGGTCTTCAGCGTGCTCTACACCGTGCCGGCCACCATCGTCATCGCCTGCTACTTCTACGAGCAGGCCTTCCGCCAGCACTGGGAGCGCAGCTGGATCAGCCAGCACTGCAAGAGCCTGGCCATCCCCTGCCCGCTGCACTTCACGCCCCGCATGACGCCGGACTTCACCGTCTACATGATCAAGTACCTCATGACCCTCATCGTGGGCATCACCTCGGGCTTCTGGATCTGGTCGGGCAAAACGCTGCACTCGTGGAGGAAGTTTTACACGCGGCTCACCAACAGCAGGCAGGGCGAGACCACGGTGTGAGCGGCGGGCGAAGGGCCGCCTCCCTGCCTGGCTCCCTCTTTCTCTCTCTCTCTTCCAGTTATTTTTTGTTTGTTTGTTTTTTGGTTTTTGTTTTTTTTTTTTTTTTTTTTGTAATTAAACCTGTAAATTCCAATTTTAAATTTAATTATATATTTCTATTTAAAGAAAAAAAAAAAAAAAAAAAAAAAGGGGGAAAAGAAGCCAAAGCCGAGTGCTGGGCTGCTGCTGGGCTCCGGGCTGCCAGAGAGCCAGCAGGCAGGAACGGGGAGCAGAGCAGCCACGGAGCAGAAAGCGCCGTGCTGTCAGCGCTTTTCTGGCGGCCTGCCCAGGAGCCGGGCCGTGGTTGGGGCTCTCCTCGGGGCTCTCCTGCTGCGTCCTCCCCACCTCTGCAACTGCAAATACAGAGAGTGAAACAAGCGCTGCTGTTCTCCTCGCGGCTCTGTTTTATTTCCTGGGGTTGGGACGGCGCAGGGCCGCCTTTGGGGCCGTCGCTGTGCGGCCCCTCCGGCTGCAGACAAAGAGCTTTTGGAGAAGGGGGGAAAAAAAACGGGAAAAGAAAAAAAAAAAAAACAAAAACCCTAAATTTCAGCGAACGCAGAGGATTCCCTGCGCGGGGCTCCTGACGACGCGATGCAGCCGCGGCCCCGAGGAAATAGCTGGCATTTTCGGCAGGATTAGGGCTGCGGGAGCTGGGAGACGCGTGGAGGAATCCCAGCGGGGACGGCTCTGCGATTTGGGCTGGAAACGGGGAGTTTGGGGGCCGTCATCGCGGCATCGCTGTGCTGCGGGGCGGAAAAAAGTTGGTGGTGAGCGGAGCGGAGCCGGGCTGGGCTGGGAGCCGGGCAGCCCCAAAGCCCCGCGGGGTCTGCGTGGCGCAGCCGGAGCGGCGAGTTCCCGTTCCCTTCCCCAGAAGGGCCGGCAGCAGCCGCGGGTCCCCAAACCCTGCGTGCGCCACTGATGAAACGTGCCGGGTTTGGGGCAGGAAGGACCCGAAGGGGTTACGGCAGCGCCTCGCGCGTCTGCAGCGCGTTTTGGAAAGGAAAAACTCCTTGGATCCGGCTGGATTTTCCAGCGATGAGCCGGGGGGGGGAAGGGGGGGGCCGGCAGAGCAGTGCAGGGGGCCCCACCCGGAGGGGCCGAGGTTTGGTGCCCCGCTTCCTTCTGTGCCTTGGGGGGCGCAACACAATGGATCGGGTGGGGTTTGGCCCCAACCCCCCCGGCCGTGCGGGAGATATGGGGCCGGGGGCTGCGGGGGGATCCCGCGTTAGGGGCTGCGGGGCTGCGGGGCTCCGCTTGGGGCTGAAAGCATCGCCGGGCACGGGGGGAGGCCGCGGGCAGCGATGCGGGCTCTGGCCGCGCTGAGGGGCCCCGCACTCCTGCGGGGGGGTGAGAGCGGGCCGGGGCCTCGCAGGGGTTCATCGGGGAGTTTTTCGGTTGGGAGGAGCTGGAGGCTTCGCCTCGTGCGTCCCCTCAGCGCCCACACCAGGGGCCGCCCGCGTCCGGCCGGCACCACGAGGACGGGGCGCCGCGAGCTCTGCCCTCAGCGCAGCAGGAGCGCGGAGCCCCGCGTCGGTGACGACGGGCGCCGACCCCGCCGCTGCCCGCAGGACCCCGGCGGTCCTCAGTGCGGTTGGGGCCGCGTGGCCGCGCTGCCCCCATCCCGTCCCGTTGGAGCAAAGCGCAGGGGCGGCAAACGCCGCTGCTCAGTGCAGCCTTTGATGTCCGCCGAGGAGCCCCGCGCTGTTTGCTCAGCTGCCCGGCGCAGCGGAGCCCGATTACAGCCCTGCCCCGTCGCCGCGCACTGCGCACGGTCGTCCCCGATGCCTCACCTGGGCTTTGGTCCCGCTGATGTGGGGCGGCCCCGACGTCCCGCACGGCCCGGTGGCGGCCGCTCAGCCTGGAGCGCTGCGGGATGGCGGCGTCCCCGCGTCCCTGGGTTCCTCCGTCTCCTGTCCCCATTCCCCACCCCGCAGGGTCGCCCATCCCGGAGGAGGTGAGGATGGGAGCGGGGGCAGCTGGTGCCCCGCATCCGGCCCACATCCATGGCAGGAGATGGGGCAGCATGACGGACACGGGGCTGGGGGCTCAGCGCATCCCTGTTTGTCCAGGGATGATGGGATGGACGGGGAGGGATGGAGAGGAATGGGGGGGTGTGGGACAGGCGGATGTGGGGTGATAGACGTGGGGTAGGTGGACAGGGGATAGATGGACGTGGGACAGATGGACGCAGCATGGACGGATATGGAAAGACTGATGTGGGATGGGTGGACATGGAGTGGGTTGGCACAGGACAGGCAGACATAGGATGGAGGGGTACGGACATGGGACAGATGGACACAGTGCATGGATACAGGCAGGTGGCACAGGATGGATGGACATGGGATGGGTGGGTGGATATGGGATGGATGGATATGGGATGGGTGGATGGATATGGGATGGGTGGATGGATATGGGATGGATGGACATGGATGAGTAGGCACTGGGTGGACACGGGATTCACGGACACCGGACAGATGGACACGGGATGGATGGACATAGGGTGGCTGGACACGGGATGGGTGCACGTGGGATGGCTGGTTCTGGAAGGACGGATGTGGGGTGATGGACACGGGATGGATGGGCACGGAAAGGTAGCAAGAGACAGATGGGGGGCGGCCCGGCCCCTCCCTCCTCGCAGCCATCAGTGCTGCAGTGCCCCCCGGCACCCCCCGCCCGTCCCACCCCCACGTGCCCCACACCCCCCTCCCCACGGCCGTCATCCACGCTGGCTTTTCCGGCCCAGCTGTCCCGCGGGGGCCGGGCAGGAATTCGGCCGGGGCTGAGCAGCGCGCGGAGCTCCGGAGACAGAGCAGCCTCTGAATGCAGGGAATGTTTTTGCAGCTGGAGTCCATTAGCGAGGGCTCGGCGGCTTTATTAATCCCAGCCTTATTGCTCAAGAGGCGCGGGGGGAGCGCGGGGTGCGCGAGGGGGAGAGCGGCGCTGAGAGGGGGGCGGGGGAGAAAGAGGGGTGAGCGTGCGGGGGGGGGGACGGATCCCTGCTGAGCGCTGCTCGGCGCGGGGCTTTTCTGCGCCCTGCAGGCTGCCCCGCTGCGCGGCTCCCCCGGTACGGAGGTGTCGCAGGGATGCCGGTTTCCCCATGACTGAGGTCGCCTCAATGGAGGTTTCCTCTAGGACAGGATCCCCCCTGCTGGGCGCCGCCCCACACCAGAGGTTCCCCCATGATGGAAACGTCCTCCTGACGAAGGTTTCCCCCCCGATGGAGGCTCCTCCCCGCCGGAGGTCTCCCCACAGTGCCGGTTTGTCCTACGTTGGAGCTCTACTCCTTGGCAGAGCCTTCCCCCCTGGGGGAGCTTCCCCCATTATTGAGGTACCCCAGGATGGAGGCTTCTTCACAGCAGGGGCTTGCTGAGATGGAGCTTCCCCTGTCAGTTTCCCCACGAGCATCGTTCTCCCTGTCACCAAGGTTTCCCTGCAGTGGACGTTGCCCCGCTGATGCAGGTTCCACTGAGGAGGTTCCCAATGATGGAAGGTTCCCACTGAAGGAGGTTCCCTCCGTGACGGAGGTTCCACTGACAGATGTTCCCACTCACAGAGGTTCCCAATGATGGAGGTTCCACTGATGGAAGTTCGTACTGCTGGAGGTTCTCACTCACGGAAGTTCCTCCACTGATGGAGATTCCCTCTGATTTGGGCTGATGGAATTCCACAGCTTCAGGTTTGTACAGCTGGAGGTTCTCACTCATGGAAGTTCCTCCAGTGATGGAGGTTCCCATTAATGAGGTTCCCATTAATGAGGTTCCCCCTTGCTGCAGGTTTGCCGCACACGCGGCAGGCTGTGGGGCAGAGCAGCAGGAGGAGCAGCTGTGGGGCTGTGGGTCGGGTTTGGGATCTGTGTGTGTGGGGCTGAGCCCCGCTGTGCTGCCGCCCGGCCTGGCGCTTCTCTTTCCTCTCCTTTTTAATTTCCTCATTTCTCTCTCTTTTTTTTTTTCTTTTTCTTTTTCTTATTTTTCCTTTCTCCTTTTTTCTCCTTTTTTCTCCTTTCCATTTTCTTCTTTTTTTCTTTCTACTTTTTCCTCTATTTTTCTTGTTTCTTTTTTCCCCTCGATTTTATTTTTCTTTTTCTCTTTTCCATTTTCTATGCTTTTCTTTCCTATTTTCTTCAATTTTTCTTTTTTCCCCCTTTTTTCCCTCTGTTTTTTCCTCCCTGCCCCTGCCCCCCTCGCCCCTCCGCCCCTTTCTCTCTCTCGCCCATTTCTCTCTTTATCCCTCCTCCCCATTTCTCCTCCCCTCCTCCATAGCGGTTTCTCCTCTCCCCAAACGCAATTTCTCACTCTTCGTGTCCCGCCCCCCCCCCCCCCGCGGCCCGCGCCCCCCCCCCCGCGCACCCCCGACCCCCCACGGCCGCAGCGGAAGAACGAAACGCCCCGGATCGGAGCCTCCGTGCCGCTCCGTGGGGCTGCGTCACCCCCTGCCGCCCGCCCCACAAACGGTGGGGATCCGGGATCCCAAATCCCATCTCTGCAGTTCTGTGATCCCAAATCCCACTTCTGGGCCTCCACAAACCCCGGTTTCGCTCCTGGGGCTTTTCTGCAGCTGCGCCCATTCATTAAACCGGAGGCGATCTGAGCCCGAGGAGCGCTGCCCAAACAGAGCAGCAAACCGCCCTATAGCGTGTGGGGTGGGGGGCAGTGATGGGGAGTGGGGAGCAGTTATGGGTTGGGGGCAATTATGGGATGTGGGGGGGCAGTAATGGGGACAAGGGTTGCAGCTGGGCTGGGGGTGGCCCAGGGCTGCGGGGTGAGCGATGTGGGGCAGAGACTCAGCATGGGGGAGCGTGATGGGGGGTGGGGAATGGGATGGGTGTATGGGGATGTGGGGTGTGGGATACGGGGTGTGGGGTGGCGGTGTGGGGTATGGTACGGGGATGTGGGGCATGAGATGCGTTAGGGGATATGGAGTGCTGGACATACAGGATGTTGGGGGTGTGGGGTGGGGGTGCGGGGTACAGGGTGTGAGATCAGTGTTAGGGGATATGGGTTATAGGATATGGGGCATCAGATACGGAGTGTGGGATATGGGTGAGGGGTTTGTGTTAGGAGAGGAGTATGGGATACAGGAGAGAGAATAGAGGATATGGGGTATGTGATGTATGGGGTGTGGGACAGGGGATGCAGAGTGTGGGGTGCGGGGTATGGGATACAGGATGTGGGGTGCAGGATGCAGGATGTGGGATATGGGGTGTGGCGGGATGGGTATGGGGCGTGGGGGTGGAGCACGGCGTGAAGGGTGCGGGCTGCGGGTGCGGGCTGTGGTTTGGGGGCTGCGATGTCGGCCGCCATGCGGGTGTCGGGACGCCCCGGCCTACAACTCCCATCGGCCCTCACGGCCGGAAGTGGGTTCCTCTTCCTCATCCCCAGGCCCCGCCCCCTCCGCGGACTACACCTCCCGCCATCCCGCGCACCGGAAGTGGGCGTCCCCGGGGGGGCGGGGCTTCCGCCGCCGGCCGCGAGGAGGAGCGAGCAGAGCTAAGATGGCGGCGGCGGCGGTGTTGGAGTTCCAGCGCGCGCAGTCTCTGCTGTCCACCGACCGCGAGGCGTCCATCGGCATCCTGCACTCCATCGGTGAGCCCCGGGGCTCCCTGCGATCCCTCGGGCGGCTCCCGGCCGATCCCCGCCCCCTCCGTGCCGCGGCGCGGCCGGCTGCTGACTCACGGCGCGGCGCGGCCTGCTGGGCTCGGGGCGGCGGGTCCGGAATGGCGGGGATTGGGGGGGGGGCGGGTTGGGGTTTGGAGTTTGCGGCTCGCCGTGAGGTTGGGCTGTGACGTGTGGGGCAGCGGCTGCGGCGCCGTCAGTGCTGTGTGAGGGGCTTTGGGAGTGGTGGTGAGAATCACAGAGTGACAGAAGGGCCTGGGCTGCAAAGGAGCACAGTGATCACCTGGCTCCAACCCCCTGCTGTGTGCAGGTCGCCAACCAGCAGCCCAGGCTGCCCAGAGCCACATCCAGCCTGGCCTTGAATGCCTGCAGGGATGGGGCATCCACAGCCTCCTTGGGCAACCTGTGCCAGTGCCTCACCACCCTCGGGGGGAAAAACTTCCTCCTCTTATCCAACCTCGACCTCCCCTGTTTCAGTTTAAAACCATTCTCCCTTGTCCTATCACCACCCACCCTCACAAACAGCTGTTTCCCCTCCTGTCGATCCACTCCCTTCAAGCACTGGAAGGCCACCATGAGGTCTCCCTACAGCCTTCTCTTCTCCAAGCTAAACAAGCCCAGTTCCCTCAACCTTCCCTCATAGGAGAGCTGCTCCAGCCTTCTGATCATCTCAGTGCCCTCCTCTGGGTCTATGGGTAGAGGTTGGGGTGGGATAGGGGCTGCTGGGGGTATGGGATGAATGGGGTAATGGGTTTTGAGTAGAGAACATGGGGTGTGAGTTACGGGGACATGATGTGGGTTGTGTGGGATGTGGGGTTCCTCTGGTGGTGCCACGGAGCAGAAGTTGGAGTTGCCCTCAGCGCTGTGTGAGGGGCTGTGGGGTGTGATGGTGAGGGGCTGTGGGTCGGGGCAGGACAGGGGTTGGGGTGGGGCAGGTACTGTTGGGGGTGGGGAGCTGCTGGGCTGTGGGGTAACAGCGCTGTGGCACATACAGGGTGGGGGGTGGGAGCCATAGAGTGGAGTGAGGGGGCTGCATTGTGGGCGTGTGACGTGTGGGGTCAGGGGACATGGGGTTCACCCCCAGGGATCACAGAATGGCCTGGGCTGGGAGGGACCTCAAGGATCACGGAGCTCCAACCCCCTGCCACATTTCACAGCAGCCCAGGCTGCCCAGGGCCCCATCCAACCCGGCCTTGAACACCTCCAGGGATGGACGGGGCATCACAGCCTCTCTGGGCAGCTGTTCCAGCCCCTCACCGCTCTCACAGCACAGAACTTCCCCTGACATCCAACCTCCATCTCCCCTCCCTCAGCTTCCAACCATCTCCTTTTGTCCTGCTGCCGTCTCCCCTTTCACAGAGTTGATTGGGTGCCATGGGGCAGCAGGTGGAGCGCCCTCGGTGCTGTGTGAGGGGCTCTGGGGGTGTCACAGGATCTGTGGGTGAGGGTTGGGGTGGGATGGGGGCTGCTGGGGGTTGTGGGATGTGCGGGGTACAGGAGAGGGGGTGTGGAGTATGTGATGCAGGGTGTGAGTTATGGGGTTATGACGTATGGGCCAGGATGTAGGATGTGGGTTAAGGGCAGTGCTTATATAGGATATGGGGTTTCTCCCCAGGGGTGCCGTGGGGCAGTGCTTGGGGTGCCCTCAGCGCCGTGTGGGGGTTCTGGGGGTGTCATGGTGAGGGTCTGTGGGTCAGGGGTGTGAGGGGAGTGTGAGTGGGGTGTGGGGCTTTGGTGTAGGATGGAGGGTTGGGGGTGTGGGCTGGGGGATACGAGGTGCAGGGTGTGGGTTGGGAGTTAGAGAGTGTGTGGGGTATGAAGTGTGGGGTGGGGGCTGTGGGTAAGGGGTGGGAGGTGGGGGTTTAGGACTTATGGGGTGTGAGGTGTGGGCTAAGGGGTGAGGAGTGCACAAGGTGTGTGCTGTGTGCTATGGAGGTGGTTTGGGGGCTGGGGGACAGGTGAGGCGTGGGGCCTGAGATGGGAGGAGCAGGGCTGGGCTGGGGGTGTGGGGCCTCAGCCCCTGTGCTGGGCAGCGCAGGCCGCGTGTGGCAGCGGCGCTGGCTGTGGCACTGCTGGCTGTCGCCGTGCTGCCTGACAGCGGCGCCGATCCTCCGGGGCCCCCAGCACTGCTGTGCTCTCTTCCAGTGAAACGCGACGTCCAGGAGAACGATGAGGAAGCGGTGCAGGTCAAGGAGCAGAGCATCCTGGAGCTGGGGTCACTGCTGGCCAAGACGGGGCAGGCAGAAGGTGAGGGGGGGTTGGGAGCGCTGGTCCTGGGGGCTGCGTTCGGTGCCTGTGGTGTCTGTGCTGGGATTCGGGGCGTTTGGGGCACGACGACCTCCTGGAGCAGGGGCTGCTCTACCGAGCCTTCAGCAGAGCTGTGGGTGAGAGGACTGGGGGAGGGAGAGCTGCTGGGCTTTGATGAAACTTTCAGATGGTTGGGAAAGGGTTGGTGGGGGAGAAGACACTCGGTGTGCCAGGAGCACTTCTGCACTGCGGTGCTGAGGTCGCCCAGCTGTGCTTCTGTTCTGCTTCCCCCCGTGCAGAGCTGGGGGGGCTCCTGAAATATGTGCGGCCGTTCCTGAACTCCATCAGCAAGGCCAAGGCCGCCCGCCTGGTGCGCTCCCTGCTCGACCTGTTCCTCGACATGGAGGCGGCCACGGGCCAGGAGGTGAGGCTGCCTCCCACTGCTCACCTGCTTAACGAGCGGCTGCCGTGGCGTCCTGGTTGATGAGGAGGGCTGAGGGCTGCAGGGCTGGCAGCTGCTGCAGGGCTGTCCTCGTCCTCTGCTTGCTCTGTGCTGGGCTGTGCGGCCGCCCCCGAGGAGCAGCGCTGCTGCGCCCAGAGCTTCCAAACCAAACCCAGGGGTTCAGAAGTTGGGATTTCAGCAGCAATTCAGGGAAGCTTGGAGAGCCCAGCCTTTGTTTTGGTGTTCCGGCACGGCAGGGCTGTCCTGGGGGTGAGGAAAAGCTCCTGAGAGCCACGTGTGTGCGGGAAGGTTTGTGCTTTGGGTTTGTAAGGCTTGGGGAAAGCCTGGCCTCGACTTTCCCTCGTGCTGGGAGCTGTAATTCACATCTGTCACCGAGCGCTGGGAGCTGTGCCTGCATGGAGCTGCGGGCTGGGCGGTGGTGGTCGGTGTCACCTGGAGCAAACCCAGAGGTGACAGCAGCTGTCCCTCAGCCATGCTGCTGGGTGGGCAGCTCAGCGCTGCTCTTTCTGCTCCCATCAGGTCGATCTGTGCCTGGAGTGCATCGAGTGGGCCAAGTCTGAGAAGAGGACCTTCCTCCGCCAGGCTCTGGAGGTACGCTGCTCGCACCCCGCCTCACAGCGGCGTTTCCCCGGCCGGGGCCGAACCCCGCACGGGTCGGAGCGCCGCCGCGTGAGCCCACGGTCCTTCGTGCCCGCAGGCCCGGCTGGTCTCGCTGTACTTCGACACCAAGCGGTACCAGGAGGCGCTGCAGCTCGGTGAGTTGCCCGCTGGGCGGCGGCAGCGGCCGCGAGCTGCGCGGAGCGGAGCCGTGCTGCTCGTCTGGCGGCGCCCCGCTCCCGCGGCTGCTCTCAAAACGCTCCTCCGTCGGAGCGTTGGGGCCTGAGACGAAGCAGGGCTGGGCTGGGGGTGTGGAGCCTCAGCGGGTCCGTCTCCCGCAGCTCTGGGGACCCGAGGAGCCCCGCCGCCATGTCGGCCGGGAGCGGCGCCTGTGCGGCTGTGCTGGAGCCGTGGGGCCGCGCCGCCCGTCCCAGCCGCGTGGCGCCCCGCTGCCCTGCCCTGCCCTTTCTGGCCTCGCGTGCTGCAGCCCTGCTCAGCTGCTCTGTCCCTGCAGGCTCCCAGCTGCTCCGGGAGCTGAAGAAGATGGACGACAAAGCGCTGCTGGTGGAGGTGCAGCTGCTGGAGAGCAAGACGTACCACGCGCTCAGCAACCTGCCCAAGGCGCGCGCCGCGCTCACCTCCGCGCGCACCACAGCCAACGCCATCTATTGCCCCCCCAAGCTGCAGGCCGCCCTGGACATGCAGTCAGGTACCGCAGGAGCTCGGCGCCGCGCTCCCCTTGCCGGAGCTGTTGGCGCCCATCGAGCCCCGCCTCGCCCCCCCTCGCCCAGGGATCATCCACGCGGCGGAGGAGAAGGACTGGAAAACGGCCTACTCCTATTTCTACGAGGCGTTTGAGGGCTACGATTCCATCGACAACCCCAAAGCCATCACGGCCCTCAAGTACATGCTGCTCTGCAAGATCATGCTCAACGCGTACGTGGCGCCGGCGCTGGGAGAGGGGATGGCGGCGGGCGGTGCTGGGGGGGAACGCGGCCACGGCTCAGTGCTCCTTCCTTCCCACAGCCCTGAGGACGTGCAGGCGCTGGTGAGCGGCAAGCTGGCGCTGCGCTACGCGGGGAGGCAGGTGGGAGCACGGCTCTGAGCAGCTCGTCCTGCTGGAGGGCAGCCAGGGCTTCCGGTGCTGCTGGGCGCCGATCCTCGCCCCGCTGCTGCCGACCCCGCAGGCGAGCGGCTCCTTTCTTCCCCTGCAGACGGAGGCGCTGAAGTGCGTGGCGCAGGCCAGCAAGAACCGCTCGCTGGCGGACTTTGAGAAGGTGAAGTTGGGGAGCTGCGGGGCTGAGGGCTGCGGTGCCCCACGCTGCGGCCCCTCGTGCTCCGCTCTGCTGGGGGTGGCCATGCTGCGCTCACCGCTCCCGCTCTGTAGGCGCTGACGGATTACAAAGTGGAGCTCCGGGACGACCCCATCATTAACACTCACTTGGCAAAGCTCTACGACAACTTATTGGAGCAGAACCTGATCAGAGTCATCGAGCCCTTCTCCCGAGTGCAGGTCAGTGCCCAGCGAGTGCTGCTGGGGGCCCTGCACACCTGCTGCGCTCCGCTCCCCTTCTGCTGACAGACGGGGGAGGAGCAGCCCCTCCTGTGTAGGGCAGGGCTGAGGCCACAGCCGTCTGGGGCAGGGAGTGAGTTTGGGGGGCCCTGCAGAGTGTCAGCCCTGCGACATGCGTGGGTCTGGGCCCTGTGGGGAAGCCTCGGCAGCCCTTGCCCAGAGGGGCGCTGCAGCTGCGCCATTGCTCTTACAGATGGAGCACATCTCCGGCCTCATCAAGCTCTCCAAGGTAAGGGCGGCCCTGGGGGGCACCCCAGTGTCAGGGGCTCAGCTGCAGCACGGCTGTTGGTGCCGCGTGTGGGGCTGCCCTGCCCTGCTGTGCCCCACTGTCAGCAGGGCGGCGCTGGGAGCGTTTCCCAACATCTGCGCGCTTCATTTCCAGGCGGACGTGGAAAGGAAACTCTCACAGATGATCCTGGACAAGAAGTTCCATGGTGAGACCCCGCACCGCTGCCCTGGGTGCCCTCCTGCCCCTCTGCACCCCTCAGGCTGCCCACGGTGTGGGGAAACAATGAGGCGTCGCTGCCGCTCCATTAATCCGGGGTGTTAATTGCTCGTTAATCAGCACCCGGTTCAGTGCTGCCCAGCTGTGCTCAGCCCCGTGGCAGCGCTCTTGCTGTGCTTTGGGGCACACGGAGCCCTTTGGTACCCAGTGACTGCAGCTCTGTGCCTCGCAGGGATCCTCGACCAGGGCGAGGGCGTCCTCATCATCTTCGACGAACCCCCCGTGGACAAAACCTACGAAGCCGCCCTGGAGACGATTCAGAACATGAGCAAAGTGGTGGATTCGCTCTACAACAAAGCCAAGAAGCTGACATAGGTGAGAGGGGCGCAGCCGCGCTTTGCAGGAGCGCCCCGTGCCCCCCTGCTCACAGCCCCTCGTGTTGTGCAGAGCCGGCCCTGCGCTGCCGCGTGTGTGTGTGACGGGAGAGTGAATCCTTTAGGAGAAGTTTTGTTCCACTTTTCGCTCGGAAAGTTTTTAATCCTCCCCTCCCGGTGCTGTTCCTGCGGTGCGGCCCCAGCCGCGCCCCTCCCCGCCGCCACTCGGCGGAACGCAGGAGACGAACGGCGGCCGCTCCGTGCACTGGGGGCTGCTCCGCGCCTTCCGCTCCGCCTCGCGCCGCTGCTGGGGCGCTGAGACCCGGCCGCCCCCCCATCGTTGGCCCCGGAGCCGCCGCGCAGCGCTGGATGCCCCGCACCGCCCCGTTCCTCAGCACTGCACCTCCTCCACGTCTTCCCCTCCCCCCCACCCCCCGATCTCTGGGTGGGTTTTGGGCACCGCCGCCGCGTTGAACGGTTCTGTGCTGCCCACCACCGCTGTATCTGATGTTCAGATGAGTTCCAATAAAATGAGGTTTTTTTGGTTTGGGTTTTTTTTCTTCTCTTTCACTTTCATCTCCCTCCCCTGCAGTGCGGGGGGAGCGCAGAGCTGCTGGGGGGGGTGGGGAGGGGCTTCTGTGCGGCTCTCAGAGCAGCGCTGCGCTGCCAGCGCCTTCTGCGTCGCCCCCGAGCCGTTCCGTGCCCGCGTTGAGCTGCGGGGCCCTGAGGCGCCGCCCGGTGCCGCCCGCCCCGCACGGAGCGTCGGCGTTGTGCCGAGCAGCGCGTTGCTCCCTTTGCCGGCGGCTCCCGTTGAGCTGCGGGCAGCCGAGCGCGGCTCCGTAACGCCGGGCGGGGGGGCGTGGCCAAAGCCCCGCTCGGGGGCGCGGTCAGCGCGGAGCGCGCCAATGGGGAGGCGTGGTTCCGCGCGGTGGGCGTGGCTTCGCGGCGCAGGGGGCGCGGCCTCTCCTTTCCCCGCCGGCGCGCCGGACGCACGTGGCGACGCGAGAGGGGCGGAGCGGGGCCGGCGCGGGGGCGCGCACTGCGCCGGCGGGAGCGC